TAGCCAATCAAAATTTGTACGTCACAAAATGATCTACAAAAACTAGCCAATCATAATGAAAGCCCTCTATGCTACTCTAACCCCAATTGGTTAAAAATCACGAGGGGGGTAAAATTTTTTGTGGGATAGCTACCGTACATTAAAAATACGAGTTTCTGCTATGCTATATTTTTAAACATCTATATCTGTCTTCTCGCAAACGCAAACGCAGGGCTACGTGTCTATACAACTGGTGCAGGCAGTTCGTCATTTGGCATTCAATTTGACCCGCTGTCCGTGGGTACGTCTCCAGCAAGTTGTGCGTTTGTGTTTATCTGGAAGTAGTGGCTTCACTACACTCAATTGACGCAAGGCTACGTGTCTATGCAAACTGCAGGCAGTTCGTCACTTGCAAAAGTGACCCGCTGTCCGTGGGTACGTCTCCAGCAGATTTGCGCGTCTTTTGAGCCAGTCTTTCATAATTTCTTTGGACGCGGAAAGAAATCGAACGGGTAAATATTGTGAGTATAAAAAAACAATATTATTCAATTGAGAGTGTTTATTAAATTTCTTCCGTGGAATAAGTTTTCGAGGATATTGTAGGTCAAAAATTTCAAATGCTTGACTAACGGAACCCTTATTCTTTTGGGATATCAATTTCTGGTTTTTCATCGTACCATAATTCTAGAATAAAAACTCCATTATCTTGACGCATACGTCTTTTAAGCCGATCACCATTAACAATGTCTTCGAGTTTTTTAACATCCTTATACCATGAAACCGGCATTTTTGAAAAAACAGGCGTCAAATTCTAATCCATTCAAAAAAGGAGGACGATACTCTCTTCATTAAGAATTTCTTTAGCTATCTGAATGCATTTATTCTGGTTTTCTGGTTTTACTCAAATCTCAATTCTTTTTTTTACTTACAATTCTAGATTTAATAATTCAGTAATTATAACACTACGAGAACCACTACCAAAAGGGTGATAGGCATAGGTTCTTATCTTTGGATTCAAATTAAACCATTGTTCGGGTACAAACTTATCAACATATTGAACTTGATTGAAGTTGCACGTCTTGAATGTGTGCCAGGTTGGTAGCGCAGTTATGTTAAATCAATCAATCTATCAAGCAGAATACGTACGTACGTAAATATTAATGAGTATAATTAACATTTCCATACTATATAATTTATAATATTGCCTTTATTAGATTTTCCATACTCTTTCTGCTCAACGTTAACAACAATACAATATTTTGAGCGTAACGACGAAAAATGGGCATTAGTAGAGTTAGCGACCAAAAATTTTTTTCTACATTTTTTTTTAATAATATCGATACCTGATTAATTCGAAGAATCTTTGATTTCCTATTTTTTTATTTATTTATTATTTATTATTATTATTATTATTATTATTATTTTGTTAGGTCAAGTTAATTCCTTTTATGCTTCGATACATTCTAGTTCTATTTCGCAAGACCATTTACAAGAATCAGAATAATCTGATCGAAATATATATATATATATATATTTATTGTTGAATTAATAAATAGTTTCGTATTTTACAAGTGAATTAGTCATGCAAAATAAAGAAAGTGATGATTTTTCGGTTGAGCAGAATGAAGATAAGATGATGGTTCAGTTGAACAGAATGAAGAAGCTGATTGTTTTTTGGTTGAGCAGAATGCCAGATCCCAATATCGTGAGTTGGATAAATTTATTACAAGATATAGTGCATCAAATTGCTTTAAATCTCACGATTGACTTCCTTCTTGTCATGTATTAAAAGTGGAGCTGTGATCCCGTTCAAGTCGAATTCGTCAAATGGCGTAAGCGAATGGGTCTAATCGAGCTAAACTGTTTTAAATAAAGTAAAGGAAAACCATGATCCTCAAACTATTAACAAAAAGGATCATAGTTTGAGCAAGAATGTTGCAAAAAATCAATTAAATTAATTTTGTCTGTCATTTCAAAATTATTTTATAAATATTTCATAACTGTATTATTTACATGATACTGCAATATGTTAATTTAAATTATGTTTATTTTTTCTTATCGTTTCAACTTTACGCGACATCGTTAATCTTTATTGTGATTTAATATTGGGTCTCATGATTTTGCTATGGTGTGGCCAAGGACAGTGAAAAATATTGATTTGATTTTTTAAAAATATTGCTTGTTACTGCATCTACTAGCCAATCAAAATACAGGATTGGAAATAAAGTGACCAACATATGGGCGGATTTGACTCCGATCATAAAAAATGTGATTATTGCAAATCCAACGTTGATTGGCTATTTTTTATTA